ATGATTTGACTGGAATTCAGTCAGATTTCTCTCTCACTATGTAGCTAGGATTTGCCTAGCCCAATCTCATTCATCCAGTCTATTGATCCTTTCTAATTCCACTGGGCAAGCCACATTTGAAGACAGACAGAAAACACCTGTATTATATCTTCACTCACTATAGTTACAGATTGCTGCCTAAGTTTTCCACATGGCTGTTCTTGAGCATGTCATGTAGTGAAATCATCAGCTGTCTCTACTAAGATAAAAAGATTATTTGATTATATCAGCAGAAGCAGCTTCCAACATCTCATGGCAAATATTTCCAATACTGTATTACAATGCTGTAATTAATCTTTCTCAGTGATTAAAAGATAGGGTGGAATTGCTACTTAGGGAGGCCAAGTGATGCCTTCTTTTGGTTAGAGAACTGCCTTTATTGAAAAGGTCATTCTGTAGACAAAGTGTTGGTAGGTTCCTTACTCAAAGGGCTCATTACTTCCTTTTAAGAATAGATGCATACCCCTCAATCCTTTGCAAGGAGCTTCAACTCTTATTCCAAAGTACTGATAACATCAGAGCATTTCACTTTACTGTTGGGCTTAAATCCAACAGGCAACAGAAGTAGGATGTTGATCCAAAAAGAAAATATGCAATTACTTTACTGCTAAATTCCATTGAACATGAACATCAGAATATTTAGAAAATGCAGCTTCTTCCCTCTTCAGTTATGATGGCTTGGAGGGCGGAAGAGTTCAGAGCAGCTCACATCTGCCCACAGTGGTGGGGTGCAGGAATTCTCTCTACAACTGCACATCAATGAACAATGTACTGCAAAGAGGTTTAGTGCACTCAGCTACTCAGACTGCTTACAGCTGTCAAACAGAGCTTTCTGTGCTCACACATGCATCACTGTGCTTCTTTTGTGTTGAGTTCTTCCAAAGGACTTCAATAGTATTAGGTACACAAGCAGAGATTGAGGGTAAAGTACTAGTAAGGTCATTCATCAGTAACGTAAGAGGAAAATGAACTAAGTCTTCATGAAAATCACCATTTAGGCTTTATGTGAAGCATTTTGTAACTCTGCCAATTAATACACTTAAAACAACAATTTGAAAATGGTAATCTACGATCATACAACTCTTCATACAAAATTACTGATATTGAAGGTTCTGAATGTGCTTGTGGTTTCCCTTCACACATCTCCTGTTTCTCCTTTAGACAAATGCAAAGTGCATCTTCCTGTTTTGGCATTTGTATTTGGGGCTCCTTTCCAGCTGAAGTAATGTCTACATCTTCCCATCCAAAGTGGACTCATCACATGTTAGGCATTTAAAGTACATAATGCTTAAAAAATAACATTTTGTTTTTCATCTAGAAAGAGGCACAGATGTTGATCAGATCTCATAATTAAGGCTGAGAAAAGTCTTGTATACAGCTTGTAGGGAAGTCATTGCTCATTTGCATTGTATCTCATTAACCTGTTTAGCTAAACCTATACCACATTCTCAATGTATTAGTCCAGCTGCAAGTCTTAATCATATCCTTGAACTCCTTTGCTTGACCTGATGCTCAGCTGAACTGTGGACCCAACATTTCAGCTGGCAGTAGACCTCAAAAACAATGATCAAATGAGATATTTGCTCAACTGTATTGAGCTCTGAAAACTAATGCTTGTTTTGCCTATAACAAATAGATTCTTTCTTGCTGCTCCAAGAAAGACTACTTAAAAAGCTTTAAAAAAGTTTAAGTTAACCAGAACACAAACTTTTTGCGCAAGATGTTTAAATATAACAAAAAAAGATACTTTGAGTACTAAGATGTACCCTGCTATACTATTTTTTGGCTTCTTTTCTGTTTCATGCAGTTATGCTATTAGAACCTGTGGCATTGAGTATAAAACAGATTCACCTCCTGCATACCAGGACTAAACAGAAATACTTTGTTGCATGAAAGACAATATAATGCTAAACCCCCTAAAATTATATATCTAACTATAAACACTTGAGAGTGTTTTTTCATAAGATTGCATTCTAACTGCCTTATGTTTCTCCAGGAAGTGTAACTGTCCTTTTGACCAAGCCAAACACTGCTTTGAAACACACCTACAGGAAACACTGCCCACTAAAGCCTGATGTTTGAACAATATAAAAATGTTTCAGAGTATTAGCTGTTATAACAAGATCAGATCAGGTCTTTTCTGCTATCTCAGAAAGAATAAACAATATACTTAATACCACTAAGTAGAGATCATATCTCCATCATCTGAGTATTCAATACAACAACAGATTGCTATAAGCTTATCCATCAGCACAGCCTTTTTGACAGTTTTATGTTTATAGAAAAACACCTGTTAGAATTAATTCAGCTTAAATAAAACAAAATAAAGTGCTGAGAAGACAAATCAATATTTGCAGTTAGTACCAGTTCACTGGTTTACATAAAACCCTAGTACCAGAGAAAGCAATTCAAACTGTAAGTGCTTGGCCAACCTTCATCTTAAAGTTATTTGCATCTATTTGTGTCCTGTGCCTAATACCCTTAAAAACAAGAGAACCTGTATTTAGAAGCCTAGTTCCTCACTTGTCAAGATACTCTGATCACAGAAGAGGGTAGCATCTACAACAGTTATTTTCATTAGCTTCTTTACCAAGTATTAAAAATGGCAAGGATCCCAAGCCAAGCATTCAATTCTCACTTTCTAAAATTGACTGGATGAAACAGCGAACAAAGTATTTTCACTAAAGCAACTTTTTTGCTCAAAGTTGAGTATGACAAAATAAACTTTCATTTATAAAACCACTTGAATGGCCTAACTAACATCTGTAGTTAACAGAACTCCTCTACAGCCTTTTGATCACATTAACATTCACATTTATGAAATACTAATCCAACTTCTACTTATACTAGGTTACCACAGGACAGCAAATCAACATATTCTTCACCTCCTTCCTACTAAGATAGGAGAACATGACTCTAAGAACCTTCAACAACACAATAATGGCAAACCAAAGCCATTGTTTACACAAGCCAACTCTCGTGTTTGGCACATTGGTAAACTATTTTTAAGCATCAGTTATATTGTTCCCATTCATCAAGGCAAATTAGGAAAGGAAATCATGCGAAGTACTGAAAAAATACGATCACGCATGGGTGCAATTTAAGTTGATTTCAGTCCAAGTCCAATTCCTACAAATAAGCACCAAAGTCTGCGGAAATCTGAATTTCCCCTTGCAAGTCAAGACCAATGAGTTTATCAATGCCAGTGAGTATATTCTTCTCCCAGCAAACACTAGTCAAGTCAAGAAGCTGTTCACAAGAAACAAAGATCTGTACAACTTGGTCAAAGTGATCTCATTTTGAAAGACAAGAGATTTTGTTCTTCTAAATTCTGCCACAGAAGTGTTTCTAACTTTAATCACAAAAATATGACAGTTTATGTGAATTGAACAATTATGTTAGTCAAAATATCAAAATAGTTGAAACTGCATTAAATCTAAAAATAGCAATTAAAAATGGATGAATGATTTATTTGAAGTTTGGGGGAAGACAGCAGAAGAACCCATACCCCCTTGGGAAATGCTATGAACTGCCAGGAATAAGACTAACACATACATACTAAATTTGAAATTGAGTGCAGATACAAGGGAACCACCTTGCAAAAGAGACCATGATCTGACAGACTAGGAACAAAGAACTACTGGCCCAGTTATCTCCACTAGGGCAAAAATTACTTAAAATTAAGTATTACCTTTTCCAATAACACAAGTAGGAAAAAAAACCTGAATAGCTGTTAAGATCTTTTTAGAAGCAGCCAAAAATCAATAGTTAAAGAACACTGATAATACGAGGAGAACACAGGACAAATCTTTATCCTATCAATTAACAAACACTTATTTTCATATGCATTTAAATGCACACATAATACAACTGCTCATCCTAAAGAGGACCGGAAAGTTTGCCAGAGTAAAAACAACTGAAAGCTTGGGTCTGAAAACATCTGGACCATTCTGAAGGCTACAAATCTCTTGCTGAGATCAATGTTTTTAAGCAAGAGACCGAAGCAATCAATATAATTGATTGTGACCTTAAAGAGCAGTATCAGTATTGCAATGGTTTGTGTAACTCAACCTGTGAAAAAATTGCTTATATGCAGAATAAAGGAAGGGGAAAGGTAACATTGCAAAAAAATAAATCCAGCCTGATTCCAATTAGCTTGTTTTTCACATGAAAGCAGGATAAAACTCATTCACAGCTTTACTTAAGTTTCATTGAGGAATAAAAACAAAATAAAATGTTACCAGGCTCTCTCTCTCAAAACTCAATATTAAGGCCTGCATAGGTAGCAAGTCAAGGAACATTCCAGAATTATCCATCTGCTTGCTAGTCACTACTCACAGCTCCAGAATATCCACAATACATCATCTGCACAAAAAACTGGTCTGAAAGGGATGGTTAATAACACAGATGAGCAAGGGTAATACTGGGTGTTATAAGGAATGATGAAACTACGTGAGCCACGGGAAAATGGTCTGAGTTCTAGTTCCACTGTCATTTTTGCTCATGGAAAAGCCCATGTTAACATCTAAAAAACTGCATAGTTCTCTTATCTGTGAAGTTCCACTGAGAAGTTCAGATCTTAGTTCCAGAAGTACGTTGAGAAATTCAGCAGAATTCTTGCCTGCACATTTGTATGATAAACATATACACTGAAGTGACACTTCTGATGCTAAGCTATTCACCAGCTGGGGTTTATTTTTAGGCTCTTCTACATACATGTTAAAGCAAATCAGAGATTTTAAAGTTAACTGGAATGCTTTGTTACCCATGGTTTCTACTGAAAATAGTCATTTCTTCAAATGCATTAAGTAAGCTTTAAGCAAGCTCGTTTTTAGATTTAGCTATACATCAAAGCTTCATATTAGACTAAAGCAAATGAAAGTCATAAAGAGATTGAGTTGCTTATTACAACTCAGCATGTACCTATCACATTGGAAATAAAAGAAATAAATTTATCTTACCCTCAGGTGCATCTGCATCACAGTCTTTAGATACAAATGTCACATTCCTTGGCTGGCCATCAATTGTCTTATTACTCTACATCAGAAAAAGAAAATTAGTACACCAGTCAGCCAGCAATCATCTTCCATAGACAGTGATAATCATCAAAACAAACCCATTTCCCAACAGACTACTAATTTTATAAGAAGTGCTTTGATAAACCTCTTAAAATATTCAAAAGGATTGGTTTTTTTGACCAGAATATGCAGGGTAAGCTGCAAGGGTGGTAAAGCCTGAACATTTCTAAGTATGTTTTCATTTAGAAATAATATAGCTTCTGTTGTTTTTGAAGACCCAGGAAAAACAAACTTGATTTCTGAAATTAAATCTTCAACAGTCCATAAAATGAATCTGAAATTCAACTTTCATACCACGATGCAAGCCTAACACTTCCATGGGGTTGTCATCACCAAATACAGTATATTTCTGGTCTGAAGGTCAGATGGTAGTATCCAACATGCTCTATCTTTTTGAAATATTATCAACAGACTCACTGATTAGCAGATGTTACAAACTGTCTTAAGAGGTGAAACCAAGCATTTCTCAGTGCTTGAAGAGCTATGAAAGTTGACCAAAGCCCGACAAAGGGACTCAGTTGGTAAGGACACTGTATCCAAAAGAAGCTTTGAAAAGTTTCCTATAACACACCATAACTGAAGACACTTGTGATAAATTGGGGTCACAGGCTTTAAACACACCAATGGTCAGAGTTAATAAAACAAGTAGCCCAGGTCTAGCTAATGTTAATTGACTCACAAGAGATCACTCTTCTACACATATTCAGTTAAAAGGAAAAGTCAATGGCACTTCCAAATTAAAAGTCCTGTCAAGAGTCTCCAAATGACATAGTTCAAGATTGAAACAGGAATCTCCCTGTCTAATCCATCACTATAGATTTTGGTTACAAATTAGTTTGACAGGTTACTAGATTGGGAATTACTGAAGGGCAAAGCAAAGGGGGAAGTGCTCCTTTTACACACTTTGGTGGAGTCACCAGATTCTCATATATATGTTTATCAGCCCAATCATCCACTAAGCTGACTTGGAATAATTCTCATTTATTGCCTGGTTCTTACACAGTGTTGGTTACCAGTGGTGTTACTTTAAATGATGAAATGGACTGTGGTGTATGAACACAATAAAAACCTGGACCGCCCAAGCAAGCAGCTGCATACTGCTCCCATCATCAGGCAGCTTGCCTTGTGTATTTCCTGGATGCTCCTAAATCCATAACCACCAACTCATAACTCTTAAGAGCCTTTTTACTACTAACATGAACAGAAAAAAACCCCACCAGAAAACCCTGTTGCTTCTCTTCATTCCCAAACACCATCTCTCCTCATTTCAAAACACAAAAATTTAACACCCAGTTATCAGGGCAGTCAGACACAGAAAATGTGTCTAGTTACATTTTGAAAGATTCTTTGAGGGGATGTAATCTGACAACCTTGTATCTACTTTGTATGCCAGAGAAGTCCAGGTATAATTTACCAGCATGCTCTTTATGCCTCATGTTATTCTAACAATAAAAGCAGTTTCTACTCAAGTTGTATTATACAATTTAAACATAGCTCCTCATAATGAGACATAAGAACCTAAAGACCCAGGATAGCTACCTTGACCATAATATCTTTTAATCCTTTAAATTGAAAATAAGAGGTCTATTCAACCATTTCAGTTAATCCTTCCTGCAGTGCTGACCAGGATTGTATTTCTGCAGCTGGATGAATGACAAGAGCCATAGAATCATAGAATCAACCATGTTGGAAAAGACCTCAAATATCAAGTCCAACCCTACTGTGGTTACTAGACCATGGCACTAAGTGCCACATCCAGTCTCAGCTTGAAAACCTCCAGGGATGGTGAATCCACCACCTCCCTGGGCAGCACATTCCAATGCCTGATCACTCCCTCCGTAAAAAATCTCTTCCTAATATCCAACCTAAACCTCCCCTGGCAGAGCTTGAGTCTGTGCCCTCTTGCAGCTGAAGGAGGTTGGTGGGTGGTTTGATTTTTTGGACTTTGCTTTTTTTAAAGCAGTAACCTTTACCTCTGGGGGGAGAACATTCTAGAAAACTAATACCAGTATTCCAAATGCTCAAAGCAGCAGTTACTTCAGTCTCATTTAAATCCCTTCTTTCAACCACTCTGGATCAACTGTTCTGTCTTTGTGCAATTTAAATGCCAAAGAGCACAGCAAGAGATCTTGACTTTGTTGTGCCTGAATAAGCAACCAGTTCACGACCTGGTTAGCTTTGTCAACATTTGCAAGATCAGACCTAACAACGTCTGCCCCTGTAGGATACCAGACCTTAATAAACAGCTGTCTGTGAAACCTCTCAAGATGCTTATGACACAAAACTTTGAAGTTCCCCATAACTATGCAGGCTGTCATTCAAACTAAGATGAAACACAATAATTCAAGTATTCAGGTACAGAAGATGAAAGACAAAATCCCAAAACCTTGAAGTAACAAAAGCAGAGACTAAATTTTAACTACTTAATTTCGCAGAAATTTTTTTAGAGAGCAAGAACTGCAAGACATTTCATGAAGCTGGACAGTCCAAAGTGTCTAAAGTACAATGAATCAGCACATACTTAGCCCCAGTCTGATTATTATTTCCTACTGTACCAAGTTAACTTTGTCATTCCTCACAAATATGCATATAAAAACTATCAACTGTGGAACAATGTTGGTTTAATTCTGTAGGCAGAGCCCTATACATCAAAAAAATCCTCACTGCAGTCACTCAGCAACCTACGTGTACCAGTACAAAATCTACTGGAACCTAGCAACTGTCTTACCAGAAGGAGTAAAGCAAAACTCCAACTTTCACACTGTCTGGAGATGATCTAGAAATTAAGCTGTGTAACATAGCACAATCAGTTTCTGGCTTGTGTATTACCAAGAGACCTACCTGTATTTACAAAAACTGGCTAAAAAAGCATCCTCAAAACCAGAGAATAGGCCTGGCTTTAGAAGTTGCTCTAAACAGTACACGTTTGATGCAGGAAACAACATTTAAACAACAAAAATTACATCTCACCTGTACCAGGTATTTCTGGCTTCCATACATGACATACTGTGGGGCAAGGCTGTAAATCATGTAACTTGTATGAAGAACTATCAACAGAAGTATCATACAGAGAAATAGGAGTGCTTGAGGTCGAGTTTTTCCTCGTCTGATTTTATAAAGCTAAAACCAGAAAGCATATAAATATTAACACAATG